GTCGGACAGCCCGTCCAGGATCGCGCGGAAGGGGCACGGGCCGAGCGGCGAGCGGGCACGTGACGAACACCTCGAGAAGGGGGACGCTGGGAAACCGGAGAACCTCGCGGAGAAACCGGTGACCACCGTCACCGTAGTGCAACGCAAGTCGCCGTCGCTGACCATCAGGAGCTTCCCGAAGAACGCCGCGCACGGTGAGCTCAGAGCGCGATTCCTTCGAGAAGACCGTCTGGCCCGCGCGAACCTTGCTAGCGCAACGCCTCTCCGCGCTTTCTTCTCTTCTTCTCTTCTTCTCTTCGGTCCTCCTCGACTCTGTCTATTCTTCTCCCAGTTCCTTGCTCCTCTGGTTACTTTTTACCTCTAGGTTATACATCCAGCTTGCCTAGTTGTAGCTCTGGCTCGATTTAATCTTCGGTGGTGACAGGCTCCTCCGGCAGCAACTGGTCCACTGCGCTGGACACTAGTTGCTTTTTACATTCGACCGTTGACACGCCAACCGATTAGTTTAGTAACCGCGAACCGTCTGTTAACTCTGCAGTTAATTTCATGAAATTGACACAGACGACGCAACCGTTAGCGCGCAAGTAACTCGCCGAATGATGTTTGCGCCGCAGATAACCAAACTCAGGACAAGTCGGAGGCGCGTTGCAGCTCGACGCTACCGTACGCCATCTCGAAATGGCCTGATCAGAAACCGTCGAGCGAATCGACTGTCAGAAAATCCCGATTGAGCATAAAATCCGAGTCGGAATCCGGCATACACGGCAAACTGTCCTTGTCTTCGTCGCCCCACGAGGTGCGCCGCAAACTCTCTCTGCTGGAAGAGAAGCGAGCCATCTTTCAGCGCCGGTTGTTCGACACCAGCCGAGATTCCGATTCCGGGGAAACCGTGGTCGCCGTTGATCTCGACGACGAAGAGAGGAGGAGGTCGTTGGAGCCTAAACGCGAAGAGACCACCAAGAAAAGGGCGAGACACATCAGCGTGAAGAAGTTCGACACGTTCTCCACGTTCGAGGGAACGTTCGACGAAGAGACCGGTGTCGGCTACCTGGCGGGCATCGAGGAGGATTACACCGAAAGCTACGACCGGCAGAACGACTATCCGCTTCCGACCACCATGGGGCCCATGGTGGGCGCCGCGGACGTCGCGGAGAAGGCCAAATTCGCCAGCCAGGACAGCACGGTGAGCTCTTGGTGACACGCCACCGTAGCGCTTTTCCTTCTCTACTTTTTCTTTTTCGGCTTGCACCTTTCTCTCGAGTATCTCTCTTTTTCGGCTGTTTCGACGCTAGTGTTATTCGGAATGGTAAACCGAACGATAGCACAATACCGAATATCTTTGGAAATGTTGAGACACTTGGAGTTATCGGTGGACGCGTATTTTTCCGAGACACGGATCTTGGGAACCCCCGAACAACTCCATCTCTGCACTCCGACGGTGAGACGGTATCTCTCTTTCTTCCTTTTCTTCGTTTCCGCTTTTACTCGAGCATTATCCTTCCATGTGGCGCTTACCGTTAGTTTATATCTTTGGTTTACTCACTTTTCCGCCGTTGTCATTCTATCCCGTACACGGCGTGTACACTGACTTTTCTAACCTCTTCGGAGCGCGAGCAACGACTACCAAGCCGTCGAGTCGAGTCGAGTCGAGTCGAGTCGAGTCGAGTCAAATGATGAATTGCTCGTCGCAACTTGTCGCAACTTGTCGCAACTTGTCGCAAGTATGACGAATATACGCATAAATATTCATCGAACGGCATCAACGTTAAACTCGAATTGCGCAACGAGAACCGCTTTAAATTCCATTGAACGTTGACGATCTCTCTCTCGAATCGAGAAAAGAAAAGCATTCTCGAGATGGAATTCGATACACCGACCGTACGAGTCGACCGCCGATTTTTCTCTGGATCCCGATCGTTGGACACCGTTTGCGCAACCAGCGGTTTTCCTTTCCCGTCGGGTCAGAATTTCAAAAGGTTCCCGGTTGTAATTCCATGACGCGGAGAATCGATTGCGACGCGTCCGTCCTGCGGTCCCAGGTTTGCGGTCCCTCGGACCCGCTTCTCTCGTTTTTCGCGTTGCCGGTTGCCGGTTGCCAGATTCCAGTTTCCAGTTTCCAGTTTCCGGTTACAAAAGCTGGCTTTGCAGTCTCTCTCGTGTCTCGCGTCTCCGGCGTTCGCTGGTGTTTGCGCTTTACAAACTGTCCCATGGAATCTTGATTTTCCATTCTAGTCCCCTAGATAAGACAGAGCAACCCTGTAGATCACACGTAGCTCCCTGGAGGATGCTGTAGCTCTCGAGTGGGTATTCTAGTTGCTACGATGATACTGCAGTTTTCAAGATGCCGCTGCCCACTTCCGAAGACAATAACATGCCTATGGAAATAACGGTGTGACTCCCAAACGAGAACGACACGTTAGATTAGATAGCGAGCACAGACATTTCGAAAATGTCGAAAATGTCGAAAATGTCGAAAAAGTGAAAGAGTGTTTCTACGAGCGTCGCGTCGGTCCCCTAAAGGTTAATTGGCCGACGCGCGTCGTCGTCTCGAGAGGAAAACGCGGCGAGCGCGCGCTCTTTCGAAAGCGAGCC